GTCAGCACCACGCCCACCCAGTGAGCAACCGGCCATCCCTATATGGGATCCGAACCCGTGGCCTTGGTGTTATCAGCACCGCACTCTCCCGAGTGAGCCACAGGCCGGCCCTCTTTATTCTTTTTCTAATAATTCACCAAAAGATGCATTTCACTAACACTTTTTAAGCTGAGAATAATATTGAGGTTTTGACCTGATCCTTTTCTGTTCTCAGATTTGATCTTTTCACTGTTTTTTAAAATTTTATTTTATGTTTTTTCCCTAGGATAAAATTTATATGTATGGAGGAAAAATTGATTCAACAGGGAATGTGACAAATGAGTTGAGAGTGTTTCATATTCATAATGAATCATGGGTATTGTTGACCCCTAAAGCGAAGGAGCAGTATGCAGTGGTTGGGCATTCGGCACACATTGTTACACTGTCAAGTGACCGAGTGGTCATGCTGGTCATCTTTGGTCACTGCCCTCTCTATGGATATATAAGCAGTGTGCAGGAATACGACTTGGGTAGGTATATTTTTTTCAGTAGATGTTTTTTGATTGTTTGATTTAAAACCTCTACCTTTATTATTATGACTTCTTAAACAAGATTCAATGTAACCTTGATTGAGTACTTTATCTTGAAACGCAGCTAACATCAATGTATTACCAGTGAAATTCAAATTATTGATGCTTTTATGTAGTATATATTTATTACTGTCAGTTTGGGAAGGAGCCCAAGATGGCAGTAAGTGCTTTGGGTGTTAAAAATAATCAGTAAGAATGGTTTGAAACAACAGATATTCTGAAGAAAAAAATATTTGGGTAGCCCATTAGAGGTTGATTTAATGGAGTGTGATTTCCCCTTCATATATAATCTTTCCTTTGGTTAAATTTTATTGTATCTGTTATTGTGCAGTAGTAGTGCCAGCTCTAATTGATATTTTGAGAAAATAGGCCTCTAAAGTACATCTGTGTATTAGTTACTAAAGGTCATAGGGAATTAAATGTTCATTTGAGGGGAATTTAAATCTTTTAAATTTACTGTAATTCTTTTCCTGCATGGCATAGTCGAACATCAGAACGTTTAACAGATTGGAGTTTGGCCACATGACTTTCTTATGGGTTTTAGGTGTCCTTTTAAAAATAAAAAGGTAAAAAAAAGATATGTATATCAAACCACCTGAAACCCCTTCTCTTGCTCTAAGCTATTTGGGTATTTTGAGTATTAGAGAGAAGGAGCTTGCAATGTTTGCTTTTTGCTGTTTTTCCCTTTCTAGATAAGAATACATGGAGTATATTACACACCCAGGGTGCCCTTGTGCAAGGGGGCTATGGCCACAGCAGTGTGTATGACCACAGGACCAGGGCCCTGTATGTTCATGGTGGCTACAAGGCTTTCAGTGCCAATAAATACCGACTTGCAGATGATCTCTACAGATATGATGTGGATACCCAGATGTGGTAGGTGCTTTTTCTTGAGCTTTCAGTTTAAGGTGTGAATTCTGTAGAGGCCATTGTTGGGAAAACATTGTGCTATATTTTTGTTTTCAGGCCTGGAGGATAGCACTGTTCAGTGTTGTACATAGAGAAACTGGGAAATAAACAGAGGATAATTAAGAAGCTAGTATTTATTTTGTTGCATTTTTATATAATTCTGTACTAGGTAGGTTAGAAAATGCTTGGTGTTTTTTGACTGGTTTTCATTTTTCATATGCTGAGCACTATGGTAAAATTTTAGCTCTTCAGAATCCTAAGGAATAAATTACAAAGCTGAGTTTGTGTACGCTTTTGTAAACTGAGTAGAGAATATCCATTTTTTAACCTTTTCTTGATGACCTAAATATCTTCTTTGGGGTCAATCCATGAAGTAATCAAACAGGATGTTCTCATATCTAATTGAGAGAACTCTCCTTACTCTGAACTATGTGAAGGTACTTTGAAAAATTTGTGGAAAAATAGAATTGAAAGATAATGTGAACCAACTTTTTGAAGTACCCTCATATATCAGCCTGTAAAAAGTGTGCTAATTTTAACAAATGTAAAGCAAATTTGAGTTATGAAATAATGTCACTAAAAAACAATGGTTTCTGCTCCTTTTTATATTCCTTCACATATTTGAAACCATACTATGGATACTATTTTACATTCTGTCATAAAAATAGTCATTTTTAGTGACTATGTAATACTCTATCATGTGGGTATTCTGAGCTTGTGTGGTTAGAAGTTTTGATTTCTAGCTTTTGTCTTATTATTAAAGCACTGCAAATAAGCTTTGTTTGTATTTCACATGATTTCTGCCCAGAAACTGGAATTATAGGGCCATAGGGTAAGAACATTTTAAGACTCTTAACATATTTTGCCAAAATTCTTATGCATCTTTTAGATTTTACATATTTATTATTGAGAAAGTTACTTATATGTAGGGAAAGTCTGGAAGTATTTGCACATTTGGGTTCTAAATTGATAAAACGGTTATATTTGTTTTAGCAGATAGATAAGTATTCTTAAAAAACTAACCTTGTATTTATTATTTTTAAATAAACTCAAAAGGACCATTCTTAAGGACAGCCAATTTTTCCGTTACTTGCACACAGCTGTGGTAGTGAATGGAAACATGCTGGTGTTTGGAGGAAACACACATAATGACACATCCATGAGCCATGGTGCCAAATGCTTCTCTTCAGATTTCATGGCTTATGACATTGGTAAGTTTCCCAAAGCTATTTTAGGGGCAGGAATTTTTTGTCTTTAAGCAACATTTGAAAAGAAACTGAAAATATCACCAGATCAAAATGGTCAGACCATTTGAAAGAAGTCTGAATAGTATTTTTTTATATTCATTTGACTAATGTTAAATATCTGTTAAAAAGCAATACTTCTACATTAAATTCTTTTCAAAATCATTCCTGTTAATTGTTTGAATTTTAATTTTCGAGGCTGAGTTGAGATAACTGGTCTCTTCTTTGTTATAAATGCCTTACATAGTATAGGTTAAGTACCCTTTTTCTGAAGTGCTTGAGACCAGAAGTGTTTTGGATTTTGGAATATTTACCAAATATGTGCCAGTTGAACATCCCTAATCTGAAATCCAAAATGCTCCAGTGAACATCTCCTTTGAGTGTCATGTTGGCACTCAAAAGGTTTTGGATTTTTGGATTAGGGATGCTCAACCTGTAGTGTTATATAGTTGTGACCACCAGCATTGTATCAAGTTGATTTAAGTATTAACTTAATTTGATTCCCTAGAAAACTGGTTTCAACATATTCTTTGTGTGGTAATATACTTGACCAGAAGAGGGCAGTATTTGTTTGGGCAAGACAAATACCAGATGTTCTCTTGTATAAATTATCATCAGACATTGTTTTTTAAACAAATTATTTTTTTTTATTGTGGTATAATACATATAACATAAAATTTACCATCTTAACCATTTTAAGTATATAGTTTAGTGGAATTAAATACATTCAAAATGTTAGGCATTCATCACCACCATCGATCTTTATAATTCTCTTCATCTTGTAAAACTGAAACTTTATACCCATTAAACAATAACTCCCCATTTCCTCCTCTCCTCAACCCCTGGCAACCGCCGTTTTACTGTCTGTTTCTATGATTTTGACTATTCTAAGTCAGATGTTCATTTTTAATAGACATTCATATGTGCCAGCCTCTGAGCTTGTACATTAGGGATGATAAGGTGAATAAGTTACAGCCCTTAGCCTCGAGGTGGAGGAGGCAGAGATATGAGCAGACAATATAATTACAATTCAGGTTGTTTCTTGCTGAGAACACCTCTGAGCACTACTAAAGTCATGGGAGGGAAGGGTGATAGAGAAGGCCTTCTTGAGGAGGGGCCATCCAGGCTGGATCCTGAGGAACACTGGGAGTTCCCTGGGTGAAATTAAGTGGGACTTTCCAGGCAGAAGAAGCCCATGTGCAGAGACACAGAGGTGGAAAGAAACCATGGCATGTATTTCAGGCCTGTGAATTGTTAATTTTGGCTGCATCGTAGCAGCACATCAGGAATGGGCCTCAAGTGAAACTAGAGAAGTGAACAGCTGTCAGACTCTTCAGATCTTAGGGGTGTGTCATGCTGAGAAGTTTGGGCTTTTTGAACAGTCTTTCAGAGTAGGTGATGGAATCACATTTGTGTTTTAGGAAGATCTCTGTAGTTGCAGTGTGGCGAGTGGTTGGGAAGGGGCAAGACGATAGTTAGGAGGCTGTTGCTGAAGCCTAGATGAGGGTTTGAGCCTAGATGTGGAAGTGGCAGTGAGGACAAAGAAATAGATGTGTTTGATCACTACCAGGAACTTGAGGACTGTCCAGTGTGTGTGGGGTTTTTTTTTTTTTTTTTTCCTTTTTGTCTTTTTTCTTGCCAGTGTGTGTTTTGAGAGAAATGAAAATGTCCTTACCCTCAAGTATCTGGTGTGGGCATGGTAGATGGTACCCGTTGTCAAGGTTGGGAACAGAAGTAGAGGAACAGGATCTGAGAGGAAGAGAGTGAAGTAAGTTTGGGGACATCTGTGGGACACAGCAATGCAGAGACCAGTGGGAAGCTCTGGGAGGGGTGGGATGAGCAAAGAGCCTGAGGCTAGCTGGAGACAAGTCTGATAGAGAATGGAGACTGTGAAAACATGTGGAGAAGTAGGAGGAAAACCAGGAAGCCTCTGGGCGAGCAGTTAACAAAGGCTGCAGAGTGATTAAGTAAAACAAGGAGGACTGAAGAGACCTTCAGGTTTAGTAATAAAGAGATAATTTATTACCCTGTAGTCATAGAAGAGTAATCCAGATTGCAGAAGGATAAGAAATAATGTAAGGTGAGATGTATACGCAGTGAAGCCGTGAACGCTGACTGCTTTATTGAAAATCTTGTCTGTGAAGGGAAGAGGAGGAGTAAGTTGAATGCCTCAGAGGGAGGTAGATGTAGGAGAGGCATTAAGAAAGAGTGGGCTAGCTTTGGTTATATTTAAGTGCTGTGGTAAAAGCCAGCAGAAAGCAGTTGGAGGACCAAAGGAGAGAGGGGTATCTATTGAATCAGTGAATAGACCTTTGAGGTGTGGGATAAAAGGAAGGGGACCCTGCCACACTGGCTTTAGGGAAGGAATTGAGGTGGGTGGGCAGGAAGCTAGGGGAGTTGATGGCCTCTCTGTTCTCCACGTGAAAAAGACCACAGAGTCTAGGCTGGGTAGGAGAAGTAAGTGGAAGCTGTTGTTATCAAGATTGAATAAAGGTCTGGGTCGAGTGGAGGAACCTGTGCTTAGTGAGCATCTCAGAGAGTGAGACAGTGAGTGTGAGGTTGGTGTGGTACAGCACCAGCAGGTGGTATTAGGTACAGAAGAGAAGTTGCTAGCATGGGTCAGGACAAAGGAAAATTAGTAGATCTAGGGGATCTAGGAAAGCACTTTTAAAAAATTAGATAAAGGTTAAATTCATAAAAATTTTAATTTTCCATCTGTATTTTTCCATCCGTATTTTAGCTACTAAGTTTTGGCCAATCAGTATAGAGAAGAGTGGAAAATAATTATAGAAGCCACATGTTTTACTCACATAAGCTTTGTAAAATGGAAAATTTGCTTAAGCTAAAAAATGTTCTAGCGGGTTAAATTGATAGGCAGTAGGGTGAGTGACATGGATGTTATGGACGTTGGATGTGTTCACTGATTAGAATTGCTGTGTGATCCTGCCTTTCTTCCATGTCCTACTGCTCTGCTGCTGCTGCATCTTAACCCAGAAATAATGGTGTGGCTGAGAAAGTAGAGAGGCAAGAGGTAGTGTTTGTGGCAGTCTTTTTCCTGAAGAAAATGTTGGTTCCTGTTGACTATGAATGGCAGTCTCTTCTGAAATGTGTTTTTTCTTGCTCCTAGCTTGTGACCGCTGGTCAGTGCTTCCCAGACCTGATCTCCACCATGATGTCAACAGATTTGGCCATTCAGCAGTCTTACACAACAGGTAATTGGAGAAGTGTTTGCTTCTTTTCTCTGTTTCTCTTGTTTAAAATGAACATGAAATAAAGTGTGAAGAAGTGGAATTGGATTTACATGTCATTTGCATGATTCCCTCATCCCATTAGTTCTTCACAGAATTATGTGGGCATAAATTTCCTGATTTATGCCTAAAATATTTGAAGTGGATATGAATTACTTCAAGTGCCATATTTATTGATCTGGTTTTGTTAGCATGCAGGAACATGCCATGTTTGGTGGTGGTTGAATGAGACAACAGAAGTTACGTGCGTGTGACTCTCTTATTGTTTGTGGTATTTTGGTTGTCCAGTTTCTAGTAGTTGTATCTGAATGGTAAGGAGAAGTTTGAAAAAAAGGAGAGGGGGCACTTGCGTGGGGGTAAGGTAGGGAAACAGATGGGAAGGTTGTGAACCTTAATATAGATCAGGTCTATAATGTTTGGATAATCTGAAGTCTGCACTGCATTTCATTGCATTGCTCAAAAATTCCTGGCCCAAATTATCAGCGCACTTCAGAAGTCTGTGCTGGAGAAGTCTCAGTCAGATAAGGGAGACTTATAGTAGCCCTGCTCCCTCTTCTTTACAGTGTGCTTTAAGGATTTTTAAGAAGTTAAACTGCCTTATCGCTTCATTAATTTTTTAAGTTTTGTTTCTGTTATTATTGCTATTTCCTCTATAAAAATTCTAATCTAAAACTCTAACCCTAAAGCTATTTAAGTACTCTAACCCTAAAGCTATTCAAGTACTCGAATGCCTGTGGTATGTTAGGATTCCTTTGGCTTTCACAATTTCTGTTTGATGATGAGACAAATGAATTTAACTTGGATTAGTAAAGATATGAAAGTGATGTATTTGGGAAATATGGTGAAGGAAGAGTGGACAGAATTTAGAAACTAGGTACTGGGAAAAGGTGATATCTTTTAAAAAGTAATTATCTTTTTAGCAATATATATGGTCCTCCGGGAGAACATTTGATAGTTATAGACTAAAATGTAAGGCTTTTTGACTACTTTGCTAATTTAAAATGTTATCTTAAATCATAATATGATACTTCCTCGGTAAGTCAGACCCTTAAAGCTTTCCAGCAAGTGCCTCTTGAGGTTTTCATCTGAAAAGCAGTGGGAACATTCTGTCATCTTGCCTGTGGGCACCTGGCCTCAGTTCTCTTCAACTTTGTGTTCCTGGTGTTCTCCTAGCACAGGATTTGACACAGAATAGGTATTTGCTAAATGGCAGCAGTTAGTTTGGTGACAATTAGCAAACAAATGAATCTTCTATTAAAACATTCTTAGGTTCTATCCAAACTAAGAGAAGTTGACAGTTTACCATAAAATGTAGTTTAACTTTGAATCAAAGTTGGGAATGGCTTGCCTTAGTTATAATGTTTTTATTTTTGTGTAATCTCAATGGTGTGAGATTGAACCCTGATATGTGAGTATCTGGGTGTATGGGACAGGATTGGAGGGGCCAGGGGACGAAGTGGGGGAATGGGACAATGAGGGAGGCCATGTACAAAAAGGCTGTGGTTTTGGTTTTATTTTATGAAATAATTTACTGAAAGAGAAATTTTGATTTACATCATATCTTCATGTTTTAAGTCAGTCAGGAGCATTGGGTCAGCTGTGCCTTACTGTATTATTGTCATTATGGTTTTGAGGGAGGCAGGAAGGAGGAGAAGAGAGGGCTGTGAGGGACTGATGCTGCAGAGATGGTGGCTATCCCTCTCAGTGGCCTGCTGCAAGCCTCTTTGAAGGACTTTTCCCACCCTTGCAGAGCCAGTATGTGACCAGATGGATTCAGAATTGCTTTTAACACCAGCTCTGCTAGGAAGAGGTTATTGGTTTTATACAGATTGACTAGTTGAAACCAACCTGCTAAATGTGGTACTAAGTAAGCCAATAGTGAGGTTAAAAATGAACACCAGGTTCATTCAATCTTTCCTTGTGATAAGTTTGTCTATTCAGATTTTCTATTTTTTGTTAATTTAGGATCTTTTGAGGTATTTTTAAAATTGTGGTAAAATATAACATAAAATTTATCATCTTAACCATTTTAGAGTGTCCAGTTCAGTGGCATTAAGTACATTATTGTCATTATTGTTAATATTTGGTCATTATTTCTTTAAGTGCATTTTCTACCCTTTCTCTTTCCTGTCCTTATGGGACTGCCCTTATGCATATGCTGGTTTACTTGGTAGTATCCCACGGGTCTCTGAGGCTCTGTTCATTTTCTTTACCACCATCCATCTCTAGTACTTTTTCATCTTTCAAAACTGAAACTCTGTACCAGTTAAACAACTCTTTTCCCTCTCCCCCCTGCCCCTGGTAACCATCATTCTACTTCCTTTCTCATGAATTTGACCGCATACAAGTGAATTAAATGCCTCATATGAGTGGTATCATACAATGTTTGTTGTTTGTCCTATTGTAACTGGCTTATCTCACTTAGCATAATATCTTCAGGATTCATCCATAAAGTAGCATGTGTCAGTCTCCTTTCTTTTTAGAGCTGAATATTCCTGTGTGTGTGTATACATAATGTTTATCCATTCATCCACCAATGGACACTTGGGTTGCTTCTGCAGTTTGTTGCTTATAATGCTATTATGAACATGGGTGTACAAATATCTCTTCAGAATACTGATTTTATCTCTTTTGGCTATATACCCAGTAGTGGGATGCTGAATCATATGCTAGTTCTATTTTTAATTTTTTGAGGAACCTCCATGCTGTTTTCCATAATGGTTGTATTAATTTACCTTTCCATCAAAACAGTGTGCAAGGCTTCCCTTTTCTCTACATCCTCTCCAAAACTTATTTTTCAACTTTTGGATAATAGCCACTATAATAGGTATGAGGTGATATCTCATTGTGGTTTTAATTTGAATTTCCATGATAATTAGTGGTGCTGAGCATTTTTTTATGTATCTGTTGGTCATCTGTATGTTTCTTTTGAGAGATGTCCGTTTGAGTCATTTTCCCATTTTTTAACTGAGTTATTTGTTTTCTTGCTATTGAGTTGTTTGAGTTCCTAATTTATTTTTGAATATTACCCCTTTATCAGATGTATTGTTTGCAAGTATTTTCTCACATTCTGTAGGTTGTCTCTTCACTCTGCTGTTTCCTTTGCTGAGCAGAAACTTTTTAGTTTGATGTAATCCCATTTGTCTATTTTTGTTTCTTGTGCTTTTGGGGTCAGACCCAGAAATTGTTGCCTAGACCAGTGTCATGGAGCTTTCTCCTATGTTTTTTTCTTATAGTTTTACAGTTTCAGTTTTACATTTAAGTCTATTTTGAGTTGATTTTTGTATATGTTGTGAGATAAGGGTCTAATTTTATTCTTTTGCATATGGATAGCTGATCTCTAATTTGATTCTATTGTGGTGGTCGGAGAACATACTTAGGTGATTTCCTTTTTTAAAAAAAAATTTATTGAGTTTTTTTATGGCCTGGTATATTATCTAGTTTGGAGAATGTTCCATGTGAGCTTGAAAACAATGTATGTTACTTTTATTGGGTAGAATGTTCTGTGGATGTCAGGTCAGGTTGGTTGATAATGTTTAAGTGCTTTATCAAGTGCTGATTTTATGGCCGATTGTTCTGTCCATTATTGAGAGTAGAATATTGATGTCACCAGTTATTATAATTTTCCTTTAATATTTCTTGTAAGGTGGGTCTGCTAACAAAGAAGTCCCTTAGTCTTTATTTACCTGGGAATTTCTTTCAACCTCATTTTTGAAGGGTAATTCTGTTGGGTAGAGAATTCCTGTTTGAAAAAATTTTTCTACACTTTCCCTATGTCATCGTTTTGCCTTCTAATCTTTATTGTTTCTTAGCTGTTAATCTTAATGTGGTTCTCTTGTATGTGATGATGAGTTGTTTTACTTCTGTTGCTTTCAAGATTTTCTCTTTGGGGGCTTTCAGCAGTTTGATTATGTAGTGTTGAGGTGTGGATCTTTTTGTGTTTATCCTACTTGGAGTTCATTGAGCTTTATGGATATATAGATTAATCATTTTAATCAAATTTTGGAAGTTTTCAGCCACTATTTTTTTAAATGCGTTTTCTGCCCTTTCTCATTCCTGTCCGTATGGTAGTCTAATTATGCATATGTTAGTATGCTTGACAGTGTCCCATTGGTCTCTGAGGCTCTGTTCATTTTCTTCAATATTTTTTATTTCTTTGATTCAGACTATATAATCACTATTGATCTATGTTTAAATTTGCTGGTTTTTTCCCTCTGCCAGCTCAAATCTCTTGTTGAGTCCCTCTAGTGAGTTTTTCATTTCACTTATTGTATTTTTAACTCCAGAATTTCCATTTAGTTATTCTCTATAATTTATGTCTCTTTATTGCTATTCTCTCTGTTGAGTCATTGATGTCGTGCTCTCCTTTAGTTCTTTAGACGTAGTTTCCTTTAGTTCTTTGAATGTATTTGTAATACTTGCTTTGAAGTCTTTGTCTCCTGAGTCCAACATGTGGGCCCCTCAGAGACACCTTTTATTGACTTTTGTTTCCTCTGTATGGGTCACACTTTTTCATTTCTTTGCATATATTGCAATATTTTGTTGAAAACTAAACATTTTTATTTTGTTTTATTATTAGTAGTATTTTTTTTAAAGATGACTGGTAAGGGGATATTAACCCTTGACTTGGTGTTGTCAGCACCACGCTCTCCGAAGTGAGCTAACCGGCCATCCCTATAAAGGGATCCAAACCCGTGGCCTTGGTGTTATCAGCACCACACTCTCCCAAGTGAGCCACGGGCCAGCCCTGAAAACTAATCATTTGAAATACAGTTGACCTTTAAACAACACAGGTTTAAACTGCACAGGTGCACTTATATGCAGTTTTTTTCAATAAACATATTAGAAAATTCTTTGGAGATTTGTGGCAGTTTTAAAAAACTTGCAGACAAACCGTGTAACCTAGGAATATTGAAAATTAAGAAAAAGTTAGATGTATGTAGATATTAGTCTATTTTATCATTTACTACTATAAATAATACCAGTATACAAATCTATCATAAAAAGTTAAAATTTATCAAAACTTACACACACAGACACAGACCATATATGGCACCATTTGCAGTTGAGAGATGTAAACAAACATTTTCTTTTCTCTTGCTTATTTTGTTTTAAGAATACAGTATATAATACATATAACATACAAACTACATTAATAGACTTTATATTATCAGTAAGGCTTTCAGTCAGCAGTAGGCTATTAGTAGTTAAATATTGGAGGAGTCAAAAGTTATACATGGATTTTCAACGGTGTGGGGGGTTGGTGCCCCTGAACCCTGTGTTCAAAGGTCAATTGTAATATATTCTAACAGGTATGGATTCAGATTCCCCCACGGTCACTGCTAGCATTGGTTGTTCCTGTTTGTTTAGTGTGTTGCCTACTCTAATTCTGTAGATTTTGTCTCCCCCACAGTGTGCCACTGCTGATTTCTCTGCTTAGTTTTTGTTTTTTCTCCCTTTTAGATTTAAGCCTGACTTCCTACAGATTGCTGTAGGCTAGTGTAGTAAGCTACACTGAACACTAAGGTGTTCAGCCAATGATTGGTCAGTGGTTTTGCTTTGACACATTGAACTAGTAAAGATTCCCCTCTTTGCTGATGGATCTATCTGTGATTTGGGGAATATATTCAAAATTTAGGAAGTTTACAAGTCTGCCCTGGCTTTTACTTTCTCTTTTCAAAGCTTCACATTTAACCAGGTATAAGTAGACAGCTAGGGCCTTCTCCATTATCTTCTTAGCATTCTTAAAGCCTTGTGTAAACACATAGCCTTCCAGACACCAAAGATGTGAAATCTTATTAAGGCACGCAATGATCACCATGTCTCTGAAGGAGAATTGTGCTTGATTTAAAAGTCTTAAAATCTTGACTCTGGACTCTAGGAGGATTTTCACTTCTGGCATTAGCCAAAAAAGCCTCCCACTTAAAGACACTAAGAAGTATACAGCAAGGACCTAATAAGATAATGAGGAAATACTGGGCAGAAATTAAGAGATGAATAAAGTTCAAAGAGGTAAACTGAGCTACTTCAGCCTGCAAGAGTTTGCTTGTCCAACTGAGGCAGATGAGAAGTAGAACTGAGCTTTTGGCTGCTTCTCCAGGCTGAAGAGCCAGAGACCAGACATATTTTTGTACATAGTGAATACTGAATGGATATGTCCGAGTGAATGAGTAAATGGATAGGCTGATTTGGATTTTGTTCTTTTTAGAGACATACTATAAATGATCATATAAGAATCTTTTTTCACCCTTAGACTAAAAACGAAATTAAACTCAAGATAATAAGTAAGAGATAATAGACCTCTTTGTAATATTAGTCAGTGCTAGAAATTTGATGTAGTCCTTGAAAGAGAAGAGATTTAAGCAAAATGCAGATGAGTCATGTACTGTGCTTCCCCCCCCAAAAAATGTTAAAACTTTTTATTATGGAAATTTAAAACACAGAAGTACAGACAACATATAACGAAACCCCATGTACCCATTACTCAGTTTTAGCAATCAACTAATAGCTATGTTAACCTACTTAAGATTACTTTGAAGCAACTCTCCATCATAATAAAATTTTATCAGTAAATATTTCAGATTATAGTTTTTTCATTATTCATGGTAGTTATGTTCTTTAAAGTCACCACAAACATTGATTTAGTGAATATTGAATCATTGCTCGTAGGAGAAATTCAGGGTTAGGTTTCTGAGAGTCTCTGATCACAGCATTTTTGTCAGCTCATCAATACCTAACCTTGTTTTATGTGTGTATTAGTCTGTTTCTGTTGCTTATAACAAAATACACGGAACTGGGTAAGTTGTAAGAAAATGAAATTTATCACTTATAGTTACGAAGGCTAGGAAGTCCAAAGTCCAGTAAACACATCTGGTGAAGGTCTTGGTAGTGGCAACAGTGATCCAGGGGTCTCACATGGCAGAAAATGGCAGAGAAAATAGTTCCTCCTGCACTCTCCTTTTTAAAGACCTCATAACCATGCCCATTATTAATCCATTCACTAAGGTCCTACAATCTAATCACCTCTTCAGGGCCTCATCTTTCAATTACCATAATAGGACTTCCCACCCTCAGTAGGTACAGTGGGAATTTAGCTACTAATATATGAACTTTGGGGACACAATTCGATCAATCTACAATATGTATTTCTATTCAAAGACACTTTATTTAATATATACTGTTGATTGTTAAGCTCACTGCCAACAACACTTCAACAGATGCCTGAATAAAGCTTACTTAACACAGATTTTCTCTGTAAGGCACATCACAGCCTTCTTGTGCTTAGGAACACTAGACAGCACTTTAGCACTATACTGGGTGGCCTTTTCAAACAGCAAAATCACCAACATAAAGCACAAAAATGAAAAAAGCATGGTACTAAATAAATTGTGAAAGGGGCACTTGTTGATGGTATGAGAGCTGAGACAAGCAGGCAGCACATTGCCTTGATTGACCTTGGCTGGGAATGAGTGTGTTTGTCAACTCGAATTTTTCGTCACTCTGTGCATGCACATGCCAGCGAAAGTCCATGAAACTGCTGCAAGTATGGATTTTGGCATTAGAAATAAATTTTATCAAGGAGGCAAATTCCCAAATATGGAATCTGCAAAAATGAGGATTGATTGGGTATTTCTTAAAGATAAAGGCTCTTTTTAAAACACAACTGCTGTACAATTACCATACTTATAAAATTAACAATAATTATTGAATATCACTCAGTGTCCATTCAATGTTCAAATTTCTCAATTGTCTCATAATTTAAAAAAAAAATGTCACTTGGGGCTGGCTGGTTAGCTCAGTTGGCTAGATCATGGTGCTGATAACACCAGGGTCCAGGGTTCAATCCCTGTACTGGCCAACCACCAGAAAGAAAAAGCAAGCAAACAAACAAACGAACAAGTAACAAAAAGACAAAAAATGTAATTTGTTCAAATCAAGATCCAAATAAGATCTATATGTTAAAATTGGTTAAAATGTCTTTTAAGTTTCTCTTAATCTATAGATTCCCCATCCATCATTTCCCCCCTTATTTGTTAAAGAGACTGGATTCTTTGTCCTGTACAGTTTCCTATAGTCCAGATTTTGATTATTGTATTCCCATGCTTTCAAATAACATATGGTCTCTCTCCTGAACTTCCTACAAATTAACTTAATCAGGTTCACTTCAGTATTTTGACAAGATCACTTCATAGGGTTGATTCTTTCCTTTTATTTACCTATTTTCAAAATAATGAACTGATTTCTTAGCATTGTGCAAAGGTGAAAAGTTTTTTTTTTTTTTTTTTTAATTCATGTAATCAAAATTTTCAGTCTTTTTTTCTACCTTCTGGATTTTAAAGCACAGGGATTTTTTTTCTACTCTTAGGTTATAGAGAAATTCGCCCATTTTTTCTTCTAGTACTTGTGTGGTTTCTTTTTTTCAGGTGGTTCTCTAAACCATTTGAAATTTATCTTGGCATATAGAATGAGAAATGGGTTTATCTTTTTCCATGTGTTTATTTATCTTGATAACATTACCTCTTTTCCCCCCCGCTAACTTAAGATGCCACTTCTTCTGTGTACTAAATTTCCATGTGCACTTTTATCTATTTCTGATTGGCCTATGTATTCATGCACCAGTATGACACAGTTTTAATTACAGAGGCTTTATCTATGCTTTTTAAATTGTACATTTTTATTTTTAATATTTAAAAACATGTAGATGTAGAATTACTGTTCAAATGTAAAAGATGTTAGCATTCCCTGACACTAAAATATTCTAGGGAATCCTGGTTAAAAGTCACAATGATATCATGAGAACTTTTTAATATAGTAGCTGTGAAGAGTAGGTGGATTATTGGAGCTATTCTGGGTGGTCACAGGCCAAAATGAAAGGGTGAAATTGGGGATGGAAGGGAATAAGGAAGTTTTTTGAGACCTTGAAAAATAATTTTTTAGAATATTTTCAATACGTAAGATTTGTCTGAAGATCATAAAAAGTGTATCATGCATTTGTTATATAACTTTTCACTCAATTCCATCTCTCCCTTTTTTTCCTCTTAGCACCATGTATGTGTTTGGTGGTTTCAACAGTCTCCTCCTCAGTGACATCCTGGTATTCACCTCAGAGCTATGTGAAGCGCACCAGAGTGAAGCTGCTTGTTTAGCAGCAGGACCTGGTGTCCGATGTATGTGGGATACAGGGTCATCTCAGTGTATCTCTTGGGAGTCGGCAGCTGATATACAAGAGGAAAAATTAAAATCAGAATGTTTTTCCAAAAGAAGTATGTTTTTTTCTACTTAATTTTAATTAATCTGAGATCTCATTTTATTTGAATTACTTTTTATGTTCACCTTATTATCCAAAATTATTCACTAATAACTTGTGCAAAGCCTTTTCAAGTGTTTGAAAATTCGTTTGTAAACATCATTACGATGGATGGGAACATGCCATGTGGCTCCTAGAAGCTGTCTATGAATGATGGAGACAAAACCTTATTGGCATTGTATAGGCTTTGTATACCAGCTCTAGAACCTGGCAGCAGTTGGTCTGAGGCAGGTGGCATCCAACATACCATTTTGGGATGATGGAAATGTTCTCTATTTGCACTGTCCCCATATGGTGCCACTAGCCATGTGGGGCTGTCAAACACTTGAAATGTGGCTAATGTGATTGAGAAACTAAATTTTTAAATTTTATTTAATTTGAATTAAAAACCACCTGTGGCTAATGGCTACAAATTAGATTATGCAAGTCTAACGTTAAGGATGAGATAGGAGGGTCAACTCAGAAAAGCCATGTTGGAGTAAATTGTTCTGGTGGATAGAGGTAGAGTTGCTGCCCTTGCAAAGTGTTCTTTTCTAGCTCCTCTAGTTGGATACAGCAGTGACAGCAATATGGGCAGTTGCTGAGGATGAGCAGTGATCCCTGCTTCTGGAACTTTCCCTCATGTTTTCCAAACTGTTTCCATCCTGCTTTCTTAACTTCTTGCCCTTTTTTTCTGACATAGAGTACAGTACAATACAGTGAAATAATGTGTGAGAAAGTCCTTTAAAAGTAAGAGGAATGTCTCTGCAAAATATTTGTTCACATCAATTAGTTTAAAGTATGTTGACTGAATTTCTTAACTAGTAGGATTGGTGTTACAGTTACCATGAGAGTTATGGTGGATAGAACAGCTTTCACTCTCTTGGAATGTGCCAAATTAAGCTGTTCAGGAACATAAATCCTCAGTAAGAACACCCAGGCAACCCTCCCATGTTCACTGGTGGACTGGCGGGAACTGGAGAACCAAGATTACCAAAACCTGGTAGCATTAGTCACTGCCTCCTGAAAGGGATAAAATCAGTGAAGACCCAGGCAACCCTCCCATGTTCACTGGTGGACTGGCGGGAACTGGAGAACCAAGATTACCAGAACCTGGTAGCATTAGTCACTGCCTCCTGAAAGGGATAAAATCAGTGAAGTAGTTATTTTTTAATCAAATAAAAAAGTTCACATTAAACGTGCAAGTTTATAAGAAATAATACTGAATTACCTTACATGGTTCATTATGACATTTGCTGACATCTCCTCTTAGATGTCGACTCTGTTTCATTCCACTTTGAGCAGGCCCAGGGCTTGGCGTGATGGCCAGGGCAGGAAGAGCAAGCTAAGGAGCAGAATGCTAGGGTCTTTGTGAGGTAGGCCCTGCCTTTACCTGTCTGTGGATTCCACCGTGTGCCATGATGGTTCAACAGAAGACACAACATGGTTGTACACCTTCTCTTTTTAGGGTCCGCAGGAGATTGACCAGGTCTGTAGTAGGCCAGAAGTTCTTAAAATTGTACTCTTGAGTTTACATGTATGTGTACAAGATGCAGCTCAGCCTAGTGCCTCCTGTGGGGTTCAACAGTGCTGCCTACTTCCTGTGCCCAAATTAGCCTTGCATTTATAACTAGGAGGAATGGCTTTGTCTCCTTCATTGCTTTGTTTGGCTCCTGCGCAGCTTCTGATGTTTATTCTATTGCTAGTCAACTTTTTTCTTGGGAAGAAAAGTATTCAAAAGAACCAGATCTTACTTCCATTTTATCTTATAGTTGTTTTTAAATTAACTTATCTTTGTTTTTCACTTTGTGTGCTCTTTTTTAAAAAAATTTGGTACAAAACAATATTGTCTGTTTCTAAATCCTATTTTAACCTGAACATACCAACTCTTCATTTTACTTCTCAACCATTATTACTTTCTTTTTAACCTCAGTCTCAGATTGTGTTTAACAGAAGCTGTCACGGTTGATGAGTTTTTCCTCTCTTTATAGCTCTTGACCATGACAGATGTGACCAGCACACAGATTGTTACAGCTGCACAGCCAACACCAATGACTGCCACTGGTGCAATGACCACTGTGTCCCTAGGAACCACAACTGCACGGAAGGCCAGGTCAGGAGCCCTTTCTCAAGAATTTCAGAGAATAGAAAAATCCTAATTGGGCTTAGGTTTGGATTATATGTGTATGGTATAAATAATGGCCTAGAGTTATTTTTGAAATAGGATGTAGATTAGGATCTTATTATTGCTCAGGTTTTCTTTTAGGAAGGGATGTTCTATACATCCTAATTCCAAGGGTCCTGCCAGCCAGTGATTTGTGTGTGGTTTTTAGAAGAAGGTAGAACTGGTGTCTAAGGACTGTTGTCCCTGGGCATGGCTGTGGTAAGTACTAGATCCTTGGTTTGAGGCTTGTAATGGTGAGTTCACTCTATCTGTGCAAGCTTTTGGGAGCAAGTTATGGCTGGAGACTGAGAGTGAGTCAGGTGCGTAGGCAGCCCATATTGAATGGTAGAAATGACAGACTGCAAAATCTCCTTGCCTTATGTTATGTCTTGGCTCAGCATAACTTCAGAGCTCACTATATATGATTTTTAAAATTTAGGATATAATAAAAGATTAAAAAAGATATGATGACCCAGCTTTTATAGTTTCGAAGTTTATAAGACATTTTTTGTTAGTCTAATGCAGTTCATAAAATAATAAAAACTTTTAGACTCTTGAGTGGGCATTTGAAAAACAAAGTTCAGCATTCCCATTTTACACATGAGCAGGTTGTATGAGAGGAATGATATATGAGAATGACATATGAGAGGAATGGTATGTTAAAGAGTGGGCTGCTTCCTTGCCAGTTAAACACATGTTCTAGATCAGAACATTCCACTGTAGTGTTCCCACTGCAGTGCTGCATCATCTGCATCTTATCTGTTTATTTGTCTGTTTCTTTATTTATTTGCAGTTTGCTTCTTCCATTAGGTTTTGCTACCTTTATTATCCTAGTGGTCCTCACCATGAGTTGTCTCTGTGGATATAAGAGAAAAGCTTTTGTTTACTGTGTTCTAGATCTCCATTTCCAGTTATGAGAATTGCCCCAAAGATAACCCCATGTACTACTGTAACAAGAAGACCAGCTGCAGGAGCTGTGCTCTAGACCAGAACTGCCAGTGGGAGCCCCGGAATCAGGAGTGCATCGCCCTGCCTGGTAGGCCTTGCAGGGGCATCTTGGTGTGTGTGGGTCCAGAACTTTACCCCCCTCCCCAAATATTATACAGCTGGGGTTGAACCTACAGAGGGTAGAAGCTAATTCTATCCATTCGTTCCCCTCACAAAAATTATGGCTATTTATTTATTTATTTTAAGCTATAACACAGTTCTTAAGTATTTGCTTCCACTGTCCTTTGAAATAAAGTGAGGCATCATCTATTGCTCTGGAGAATCGAATGACAGCTTGGCTTCATATTCTTGAAACTTCTTCATTGTTACCTCCTCACCCTGCTGTAATAACCTGGGACTAGAATGCAGCAGTTTTAGCAGCCTGTCTGCTGGACACTTTATGAAGAGTACTTCTTATTGAACACTGGGATTTGGTTGTCGGCACCTGCCGAAGGGCTTCCTTCTGTGAGAGGGAAAGCAGAGATATTTCTGTCAGCAGCACCTCCTGGGGTGATTTCCAGCCCTGAAAACCTCAATTTATGGCACTTCTGAGGTTCTGGATGATGAGTTTAAGGTGTGAGGCCAACCAGCCATGACTGAACCCCTGTGATATATTTGCTCAACCAGGATGTCCAGGAAAGAGGACTTCCATGGCTCTTCACAACATCTGAGGCATGTGCAGGGCAGTTGGGTTGGACCAGGCCCCTTTTGAATGCCCTTTGGAAGTATTTGATTCAACTTGCAGAATGGGCTTTTTGGATTTTTTTTTTATCATGGTGTGTCTCAAACTTTAATGCATAGCAAAACACCTAGAGATCTTGCTAAAAGGCATCCTAGGTACAAGTTTGGGATAGGGCCCTATAGTCCGCATTTTAACAGTTGCTAATGCCACACTTTGAAGAGCAAAGTCTTTATCTACTCTTAGGTGATCTCTTTCCCGTGGCACTTTTCATTTATTTTAGTGACTGTTACTGTTAATGAACACTGTTGATGGTTTCTCCAGGGTGCTTTGGTTCTGGTGAAGTTGCTTCATTCATTCACTGTCTTCCAGGAAGCATTCATAGCTTCTGTGCAGTACCCTGTGTAGGTTCAGCATGCTCACAAGTAGCAGATCACAAGCTTGCCTTGTGAACAGCAGCTGTATTACTTTGGTTTTTTCCGATTGTACCTTCCATCTGATGATATGAAAACAGTGCAGCTTTTGGAGACTAGATTTATTCATTCCCCAACTCATTTCCATTCTTGAAGTTTTCTACCCTGCCCTTCCCATATTCGTGTCCGTTCATCTGCACTTCAGTCAGGATTTTACATCCTTTCTAAATGTTCTTCAAAAGGAGGTGTACTAATCTAACATTGGCATCCTCTAAGGTACAGGAGTGATAACCTCAGAATATGCTTCTTGAAATCCAGGAAATGTGACTGATAAACAGCTTTTTAATTCTTTTTCTGTATTTGGTCTTTAGTAGTGTGTCTTGTGGCCTCACCATATCCTAATAAAGTACCTGGAATTCAAATCACAAAGATAATTTAGGTGTTCAGTAATTTGAACGAGTAATATACTAGTTTTGTGTGACTTCTAAAACTCTTTTTTTTTTCTCTCTCTCTACCCCCCCCAACCTCCCCTTTATTAAAGAAAATATCTGTGGCATTGGCTGGCATTTGGTTGGAAACTCGTGTTTGAAAATTACTGTTGCCAAGGAGAATTATGACAATGCTAAATTGTCCTGTAGGAACCACAATGCCTTTTTGGCCTCTCTTACAACCCAGAAGAAGGTAGAATTTGTCCTTAAACAGCTGCGAATAATGCAGTCATCACAGAGCATGGTGAGTTAAAATGCTCAGAACTTAAGTATCTACTATCCACTTTCTACTGAGGGCATGACTACAGCTCTCATATGGAAGGCTGTGGATGCATGCAATGTGCTCTCCAAGAGGAGGATGCTAGTGTAAGAAGCACCATAGACTGGAGCTACACTGTCAGAGTCTCTTCCTTTACTGCCTTCTTTCTTATCTTAAAATTTTTAATACTTTGTATATTTTTATTAGTTATATCTGTTAAATAAATTACAAGATGTGAATAATTATATGTGGGATGAATGGTAATGTGTGTATACATGCACATACTCTGGTGATGTCAGTAGATGATTTCATATCTGTTTTATCTCTAGATTCTGCTGGGGGGGGAAGGGAGAGGTCACTGCTAATTAGCTAGGTTGGATTAAGCCACCTGAGTGAGTCCCTTAGATTTAGGGTATTATTACAGTGTATAATATGATCACCACTAAGAAATGTACATCTATTTGGGTCTTTCTTAGACCTGCCAGCCCAAAAGAAGAGAGCAGCTTCTTGTCAAGAGTTTCTGAGCTCAGAAAGTTCTATTGCTGTCCACTCAGTGCTCTCAGGTGGCATGTAGTTGATATTTCACAATCACATTTTGTCATTTTAGTTCAAAGTCCTAGAACTGTGATCCTGCCCTCAATTAAGTAGATACCAATAGAACAAAGTCCTTTCAGCAATGTTGGCATCAGTACAGAGATGTTTGGTGGAAATGTTCTTCCTGTCAGGCAGGGAAGAGTTAACAGCAGCACTTCCTTGGGTGCAGCCTTCCTCATGTGAAGGTATGGAAAGTGTGGCCTGGGTCCTGGCTACATGTGGCCTCTCTGTACCACCTAAAGGGCCATTCCAAGACCGGTAGGCAGTGTCCTATAAATGTTACTTTTCTCCGGTTAATCTTTTTTTCCAGTGCAACTTTCATATGGTGTGGACACTCAGACATTGGTATCACATTCTTAATGTGCTTACCTCAAGGGATACTGTGGCCACATTTGGCATTTTATGATATTTTGATAGCTTTTTCAAATTTCATAACATCCATCAGAGATGGTCATGTTGTTTGTTTCTCTTCTCTTCACCCCCAAATGTGGCCCTCTCCCAGCACTCTGTCCTTGGCTGTCAACTGACCTTACTCATAGTCATTCACTTCCTCAGAAAATGATGACTCACAGCTCTGCCCATTATCCTGAGGTGTCTGTCACTGACTGTCAAGTCCACATCTCTGAAAAAATACCTGGTTATGGCACACCACGCTAGCCCCTCAGGGCCCACCCAGGGACCTGAGTCATGGAGAAGGGGACCAGACCCCATCCCAAAACCATGCACATCACAGCAGTGCCTCAGGGCCTGCCTGGGGACCCAAGATATGGAGCTGGGGACTGGACACTCCCCACAACCAGGCACACTGCCAGCACAAAGGAGCATGCCAAAAACATCACCTCCATGTGGGTGGCCCACCACAGCTACCACAGTAACCATGGCTGCCGCAAAAGCAGCTAGACACCACAACCACTGTGCAGATGGTCCGCCAGCCACTGGAGTGCATTGACACAAGGAGAGTCACCAGCAGAGTCAAAGAAAAGAAGAGGACGTCTCTCTCCACAAAGCCCATTCCAGAGTGACAGAAGAAACATCTGCTCTGTGATAATATTGGGGGACCTGATCACACCTCTTGGCATTGGACAGATCGTCTAGGCAACAAATCAACAGAGTAACCATTATTCTTTCAGAAGGAGAGAAGAAATCTAGGGTAGTTGGGGGGGAGGGGGAAGTGAGGGAGGGAGTGATTGGACCAGGGGCATAAAGAATAATTATGATTTGTAACAATATATATGCTAGTAATATTGATTTGATCAACATATCTCAATGTTGAACCCTAAAAATATGTATAATCAGTTTTGATTCAATAAAAAAAACCTGGTTAGAGGGCCGGCCCAGTGGCGCACTGCTACAGTGCGCCGCTTGGGAGTGCGGTGGCGCTCCTGCCGAGGGTTTGGATCCCACATACAGACCGGCCGCTCACTGGCTGAGCGAGGTGCGGACACAACACCGAGGGTTGCGATCTCGTTGCCGGTCCCAGTCCGGTACGGGCACGACACTGAGGGTTGCGATCCGTTGCCGGTCACGAAAAAAGGCAAAAAGGCAAAAAAAAAAAAAAAAAAAAAAACCTGGTTAG